TCCTTAATATACAATACCCTGACAATTTATCGATTTATTTTTTTTGAAACCCATTTTCCGAATGATTACATACTGTAAAATTTCTCGAAACTCGGATTCTTGAAACATGATGTCAACGTGTTTTAATCCGCTTGCGCAGTATCCGTGTAATCCACGTGAATCTGTGAGATTTAAATTATTACGCCATACGTACTTTGTGTCATCGATACGTTCTCTCTGTAGAGTAGTAGTCTCCAAGTTAAAAAGGCGGACGCTCTGATTAAATTTAGAAAAGATTAAAAAATTACGTGTTTTTTCCCTATTTGAGAAAATATATATTACCAATAATACTAAAAACCAAAGCCAACGTCATATAGCTTCGTTTTTCACAGACATCAGTTCCTTCCCTTCTCATAAGAAGCTTTTATTATCCCTCGTAATAATGAAGTACCTTATCGTCCGTTCGGATTCATTGATTATATTTATGCAAGGTTTGATGTTTTTTCGGATGTATTATTAAAACTTATCTACAATTTTATTAATGATCCAATGTTGATATATATATATTTTTTACAGAAACTCAAAGTTATATAAAGCTAACCAATGGCGGAGAAAATATTTCCAAGTGTGGTCAGGAGTGTCCTCAAGGCGAGAATGTGGTCAAATTGATGTTCGAAGAATGCCAAGGATCCAGCATTGGGCAAAGTTCTGCGGCCATTGAACTGACAGATTCACTCGAATCAAATCACGCGAAAACGACGTTAAATAATGAGGTAGATGATATTCTGGAAGTAGCAGATGAATGTATTATCAATGATAAAAATAAATCACGTAAGATTTTTCTCTCAAAATATTGGGTTTGTGTATTTCATTTTTGATTTTGATTATCATTCTCTCAGGCGAAAATTCAAGGCCTATTTGTGTTAACAAGAATAAGTCGAACACGTCAAATTTTGCTACCAATTCAGACAGCACAAACGCTTTAATGGGCCCAGGAAATCGACCGACCGTTAGGAGAAAACTACGTAAAAAATCAATGATAACTAAAAGAAGTCTACGACGACCGTGTACACCAAAAATAGTATGCAACGTGCCAGAATGCGGAATGGAGTTTAACATTCCTGCTCATTTATCGATTCACAAACTAACTCACAAAGAGAGAAAGTTATATGAGTGCTGGAGGTGTAATGAGCGATTCGAACATCAATCCGAACTTTTAAGTCACGGCAATTCACATATAGGAAAATCGTTATATATCTATGAGGGGAATAATCCCTCGAATTTCGAAAGAGACACCAGGTCAAGTAGCCTGAAAAGAAGTAAGGGGAAGGAAACATCCAGTAATAATAATGGAAGTAAATTTTTGGAGAATTCGCGTTCCAATAAAAAAATTCGCACAAATTAATACATGATCCTTGAAGGTATAATTTTTCGATTAAATTCCTTTTACGCGAAAATTTTGAATTTAACGATTATTATTATTATGTCATTCTATTTTCAACAGATTAAAAAAATTAAAAAAATAATAGAAACCATTTTTAAAAAATAAAATTAATAATACAATAACAATACAGAACTTTTCGCTGATGAAAAATGTGCATATGATATATTTATCTGTAGTGCCTATACAGTATAAGCAAATTGAAAATTGAATGCCACCGAAATTAAATTGTAGTACTTTTTCCGTACACAGCGTATTATACAGTGTGGGACAAAAATAATTGGACAAGATTTTTTACATATATAATTTAAATAAAAATTAAAATATATATTCTTTAATATCTTATAAATAAAATTTATTATAAGTTTATTTTATTATAACTTATTAAAATTTTTTTATTTTTTATTTAAAAAGTTATTTTAATTATTAAATATTTATTTTAAATTAAAAAAAAAATATTTTTTTTATATAAGTAACATTAAAATTAAATTATTTAAAAAAATTTTTATTTATTTATTATGTATTATTGAACTTGCTAAAATTGTTAAAAAATATATTATTAAAAAATCAATACACATAATTTAACTATATAAAAAAATTGATAAATATTCTTTTTTTATTTTGTTTACATTTCACAATATTTCTATATTGATCCCATCAACTCAATTAAAATAAATTAAGGAATTTTATGCCATTTCTCTTCTATAAATAATATTAATTGATCACAATCTTGTGACATTTACTTTTTCACATTATTTTAACAATTGCTTATAGATTTTTTATAGAATTCGAATTAGATAAATTGAAGAGTTAATTAATAATATTATAAATATTGCTAGCAATAAATACTTGAGTAATTTTATATAAGTGTTTGAATTATTATCCTGTTATAACCATTATTTATTTCCTAACATTTTATAAATTTCATAAAAATATATATTAAGAATTTCTATATAATATTTATTATTTATTATTTTACTAAAATAAAATAAATTTGTTTTTTACTCTTTTGCAAAACTTTCAAGTAAAAATTTTTTCAATCTTTTAAAATAGTATAAATAGGATATAAACCATTATATCAATATTCCAAAGTATTATAAAACAAACAGAATATTGTTTTATTAATAAAAATAATATAATTTCAATTGTCATTTAAGTACTGATAAGTCCAATCTATATAATTTTTTTTATTCTTTTCTATAAGCATTAATATTATTAAAATAATATTTTTTTATATTCAAAAAAAATTAAGTGATATTCTCTATAAGATACTTGAATTTCTATTTTTAGTAATCTTGTTATTAATGTTTTTGTTGAAATTATAGAATCATAACAAATGTATTGTTTTAATATATACTATATACTTTTAATAATTTTTTAAGCTTTATTATTACTTTCACATACTCTACTATCCCTGTTTTTTTAATTTTAAGAATGCTATAAATTATAAAATATAAAATATATATTAATTATTGAATATTAGCTACCTTCTATATTCTTTTATTTCAAAAATATAATTTTACTTATTGTTGTGTTTTCTGTTTCAATAAAGTTAGTTTACATAAAAATAAATTTAAAAACATTTAATCATTAATATGAAAAAAATATTACTTATTTAATTATATAGTTAATATTTTTTTAAAGATGTTATAATATAATATAATTAAAATTAAAAAAATTAGATATATTTTATTAAATTAATTTTTTGTTCAATTATTTTTGTTCCATACTGTATTTGTAATTGAATAAGATAAATTTTTATAAATTGTATAATTTAATTTAATATATATCATGCTATATATCAAATTTATTATAAATAACAATAATATATATTTTTATTTTTTTTTATAGAAAATCATTATAATCATAATTTTCAAAAGATCTTTAATAAGTTTTTTTTAAACAATATTTTTAAACAATAATTTTAATTTTTTTGTTTTTTTTTATTATATAAATAATATATTGTATATATTATTTTGATTTGATTTTTTATTATTTAATAAGTTCTTGTATTTTTTATTATTATTTCTTGAAAAAATCTAATTAAAGTAGAATATAATATTATTTTAAAAAAACAATCTTTATAAAAAAAATGATAATAATATATGATAAATAAAATAAAAATACTTAAGTCTATGGCATAATAAAATAATAAATAAAATAAAAATACTTAAATCTATGGCATAATAAAATAATAAAAAAACCTGAGTTTATAGTTATACATATAGTAAAAATTATTGAATTGAGTTAAATACAATTAAAAATCAAGAATTTAGTAATTGAGTCAAATGATTTTTTTTATAGTTAATATAATTGATACAATTATAATATAATAATATAATTGTACCATAATACCATAATTATTTTAATATGATGCAATCATATAATTTTGATATGGTGCATGCCACCTAGTTACATCTAATAAATATTACTAAGTTTAAAAGAATAGAATTGAAAATTCTATTATATAATTTTAAAAAAACTTTCTATTATTTTGTAGATCTTAATGTAAGCAATAAACTAATAGAGTTGGAATTTTGAAAAATACTATAGGTTTTGTGTTCTATAATTTTTTAAAAAAAATTTTTTATTAAGAATTTTCAAATTTCAGCATTTAAATCTTGTCAAAATTATGATTAATTTTGGCCAACATTAGGATAATTTATTAATGCTAGCCAAAATTATAAAAATGTTGAATTTATTATTGAAGTTTATCTAATTCTTGAAGAATATCTTTTGGAATGTGCCTATAAGATCTGTATTTTTTTACAGCAAATATTGCTTGCTTTGCTGTTAAACCTAAATAATAAGCACTCATATAATGATGTGCTCTTCACGCATATCATCTAATCTGAATTAATAATACAGATTTAAGTGCATTTGGTACAGTTTTTTGTAAACTATCAAAGGAATAATCACAATGTCTATATGTATATTTTTTTGCCTGGCTCCAATAATTTTCTATATAATTAAGCTCACAATAAAATTTTGGATAAAAGATAACTTTGTGTCCTGCATCTTCCACAATTTCTTGAAGCAAAGGTCGTTGGTTTGCAAAATCTGGCTCTAATGACAAGATTTGAATTGCGCAACAATTGGTATTTTGAGATTGTCCTTTGATACATTCTTTACAAATTTTTTTAAGCTCTTGTATATTGTATCCTCTTTCATTTAAAACCACTTGTAGACCTTTTGGTGTTCCATCATCAAATACCATAGTTTGTAGTGTTCCATTACACATAATAGTAGTTCTTATTTTTGGTTGTTTTCCCCCTGAAGAAAGATTCATTCTTTTTGCCAATAATGCATCATCAGTGTATGCACCATAATTGGTACTATTATCAAATGCAAAGATTGCAATGCAATTTGGATGCATTGCATTAAATATTGGTATTGCTTTTTCTTTAAGTTGTTTTGCAACATCTTTACTTCCCCAATAACCATCTCGATTGTTTTCTGAATGTATAATAGTGCAAGCATACTCTGATATTTGTTGATTTGGCAGAAGCAATAAATTTTGTGCTTGTTTTTCAGAATCTAATTGTAATCATTCCAGTATATCACACAAATAGTCACTGACCATTAGACTACTGCCTATAGATTTTGAATGAAGTGGTTGTTTGTCATCTGGTCTCCAAAATTCTTTTCTGCCATCATTTGAAAAGAATGTTAATTTATCATGAGTTACAAGAATGTGTAACTTTTGATTTGTCGCTAGTTCTGGACCAATTTGTAAAATAAGATCATCTGACCATTGTGACATAAATTGTTCAAAATTTGTCATTTGCTATAGAAATGTGTTTCGATATTCCACTACATCATCCCGTTCATGACCGTCATAATACAACCCTTTCTGGTACCTTTTCCATTGCCATCCTAATTGCTTTAACCATCTTCGTACAGTACTGTTGCTAATTGTGCAATGAGTTTCAACTCCTAATTCTGGAAAGATATCATTTTGAATATAATCACAGAACTTGACAAGATCTAATTCAAATTTGTGTTCATGTATATAATGCATTACTTGACCTTTAACATCTTCATTATCCAATAAAGATCGAATTTTAGGGTGGCGACCACATTGTGAGGTTATGATACCATCAGTTTCTCTATATTGAATAGCCCAGAATCTAATAAGTTACACAGCCCATGGTCCTCGATTCAATGATGACACAATAATTGTACTTGATTCAATTTTCAACATGCCTGATGCAACTAACCGAAGATATTGTGCAACATATTGCAATCTGATATCATTAATACCGAGTTTTATATCATGTTCTAGGTCTTCAAGTGAAAATTGATAATCTTCTTTATCAGATGAATTATCTACTAGATTCGAGTTTTGGTGGTGTTCTGAATTATCTTTTTCATTGGACAAATCATCTACTAGATTCGAGTTTTGGTGATGTTCTAAATTATCTGTACATTTATATCAAAATTGAATTTACAATAAAAGAATAAACTAATGTAACCAAAATCTTACTTTTTGACTCTGTCAAATCGATGACAGGATAAAAATATGAATCGATTTTTGCAGATCCTTGTGCCGCTAATTTCATTTGCCAGTTTTTATTTCTAATGGTTGATTTTGCGGTCCTGGTATAAAATGCTTTGCATTCAATATTTATATAAATGCTTGGCTGTTTGGCAGCTTGAAGCATAATCGAAAAACAATCATTCATCTGCTATTCTAAAGTTTCATCAATCCAACACTCATCCATTCCATCAGATTCTTCCGATTGATTATCTGTATTATCGGTGGTCTCACAATCTTGTTGCGCAACTATTATACAATTAAATTAACCTACTGAATTTTTATGTAAACTAATGTTGTAAATAATTTAAATAATCTGAAATACCATATCCTATTTTTTGATGTGCTTTTTGTAGATGTATCTTTTGTTTTTTAGGCGGCATTTTGGCAGAATTTAGGCAGAAGGAGAAACGAAAATGAAGTAAAGATAATCTAAATGCTATCGGACTTACACGACATTCTTTTGATGACACATGCCTTATTATGCAAATATTGGAATAAACACTCCCCTCCCTCAAAAAATTAGGTGATACCTGCAGCCGAAATTTCAGCGTTGCTGCAACATTTGATGTGACTAGGTGGCGTGCACTATACAATTATTTTTAATATTATGTAATTATATAATTTTGATGCAATTATTTTTAATTATAATATAATCATATAATTTGTTATAATTATACTACAATATCACAGTTGTGATACAATACTGCAACTGTTATGCAATACTGCAACTATGATACAATACTACTACTGTGACATAATACCACAACTGTGATACAATGCCACAATTGTAACACAATTTTTGATTGGTTAATAAATTTTTTTTTTTTTTTTTTTTTTGTAGGTAAATATCATCTCTTTATTTAATTTGTATAATGATATATATATATTGTGAAAGAAATAACATCTCTCATGTGTAACAAGACAATGAGTTAAATGCTAGCTTGCCTACAGTAACCGCTTAACTAGTACTGAAAATAAATTTTTCTTGTCAAGTGGCTCTGAGCGGCTATAAATACCTACTCAGTATTTTGTGAAAGGAAATTAGAATAATCGGTTATTAGTTTAGAAATACATTTGGAAAAGTTATATTTGCTTTGGATATAGAAATCTGCCACTACAATTGGTAGATCGGTAATGGTTAGATCTTTGGAGGTGGTGGAGGAGGAGTTTTTAGATGTATCAGGTTTGCTGGTATTCTGGTTGTTTTTCTTTTTTAGTGAGGTGTTGTGCTGACTCTTATTCCATTTGATGCCGGTAGTAGGAGAAGTGTTGGCTGTGCTGCATCGGGGTATCCAAATTAATTTGTAAAGTTGTACTAGGGTCTCAGTTAATACTTGGATCCAATTGGATTGATTTGATGTAGAAAAAATATTGTCTGTAATGCCGCATGCCAACTCTACCAGTTGCCATACACGCAATATTGTTTTGCGATCGTCCTCTGGATAGAAGATGATATTGATATTGGAGATGATTTGCTTGATGTTTTCTGCTGCTGATGGATATTTGAAAACATGTTGAATATCCTCAGTACGGAGGCCACACCTAGGACAGTAAGGGTCTGGATACTGTTCAGGATACAATTCATGTAGGTTTTTCCTCGTAGGAAGTGTTCCTGACAATAATTTAATCCTAAAGACGATTAGGTCGCTATATTTGTTAGATTTGATGTTTCTAATATCCCTGTTGGATTTGCTGATGATTTTAAGGCCATACGAATTGTGGAAGGAATTGAATGTTTTTAAAATTGACATGCTTTCGCAGATTATATAGGTTTTGGTAATGCTTAAGATCTTCTTGCACCATCTCATGCTGCTACCGAGTTGTTGATTGTTAATTAATAGGCTTTCTGGGAAGTGAAGTAATGGATTGTTCCACTGGATGGAGTTATTAGGTTTTGGATTGGATTTTGGTTTAGCATATGTAATTTGGATTGATTTGTCTTTGATTAATTGATTAATTCTCAAGATTATTGGTGCAAAGTTGATCTTGGTCATTCTTCTTGGGTAACTGGAAGAATTTTGGAGTATTCTTTTGTTGTTTCTGATTTCTATTGTGCTGTTTAATGGGTACCAGTGGAGAATGTCAAAGAGAACATGCAGGAGGTCACCTGATGGATGGCCTGGATTGATTAAAACAATTTCAAAATCATTTGCGATGACTTTGCCTTGGTGAAGTTGAAGGTAATAGTATTGATGAAATCCAATACTTTGAAGTGCCGAGATGGGAGGGGAGATTAGAAAATTGTCAACAAATTGGAGAATGCTTTTGCCTCTTTGAGGTGTGTTAGACAGTTCGTTGATTATATTACTTAAGCGATATTCGGTTGGATTTTTAGGATTGGACAATACCCACAAGGAGGATGCTAATGTACTTGTAAAGGTTATCGTGCAGAAGCCTGTGATGAGAGTTTCTAATGGACATCCTCTACATCTGGATAAGTTGTTGTTTGACTCTATTTTATAGAGTCTCCCTTTGAGATTAGTTCTCTCGCATATATAGTGATGTCTCTTGTATGTTTTGACACAACAACTGAGGTTATATACAGTGTGAGTCATAATTTTTTAGAATTTTTTTAATTTTATATTTTATCTTATAATTAAATAAAAAAATGATTAAAATTTTATAAAATTTTACTCAAATATATTTTAAAACTTAAGAATAAAAGGGTATAAATTTGGTTAAAAA